TTTTCATTAAAATTAGCGAAATATTTATTATTTGCTTTTGCAAATCGATGTGTACTATTGCATATGTCACCCCGCATCATTTGTTGACTGGTTTTTTCTTTCTCAAAATTACCGATCAACTCAAGTTTAACATTCGTCTTTTAAGCATTGCATCGAAGGCAAAATTAGGTACGGAAAGATAATGTGGCATCTCTACCATAGTATTTTAGGCACGTACTCCTGAAATTCTTAAAAACATCTGCAAGTGAGCAAAATAATCACCAATAATTCTACATTCATATTTTTTGTAAACATGAAATGCGTGAATTTTGTTTTCTTTGATTTATTTTTATTAACAAGTGCATTATGGTCAGTTACGTTCGTTACTATGTATTATTTAGCAAAAGTTTTTTGGGCGTGGTTTCATTAATGAGATACATAAGTATAAAGAGGGGGCTGCACAAAATTTACTGGAAGTTGACAGCAATGACGGGGGGGGCTCATGTAGGAGGCCAAAAGAATATTGCCTGAATCAACCAAAATACTTCGACTCCTCCCCTTAGTCGATAGATAATGGCCAATACCGAAGATTAAGTTTTGTGCCCTCAGTACTTGAGAACAGGCTGGAACAATCAGAAAGGGCTCACCTGTGAGGATTATTGTTTTCCTTGATTTTCATCCGCAGGTCAAATAAATTCATGTCAGTAAGATGAAGTTCAGAATTCTCCACGGGAAAGAAAACTCTCAAAAGTGTCCATTGCTCCAAACGTGTGGGTTGCTAGTTGTAGCATGCTGCGCCCAACTAGTATCTGAGTAGCACAGGTTTGAATCCTGTCGAAGTCTAATATTTTCAAGATTATTTTCTGCAATTGCTAAAGTTACAGCTCACTTGCTAGGATCATTGCTTTGCTTGATTTTAGAGTAAGGTCATAACGTTTAAAGATGTTTGATGATGTTTTGGGCGTGGCTTACCAATTTGCGTCCTGACGATTCTACCCTATTCTTTGCTACCGGGGTAAGTTCGACTCTCTTTGCTTGGTTTCAAGAATTCACTAACCTGCTTTGAAAGAGACATGTTGAAGATAAAACACTTGATTTTCAAAACTGGATTGAGAGCTGAGATAGTCTGTTGTAGTTCACTCCGTCGCCGACCAAGCTGAACTGTTTGGAGCGTTAGGGTAGCTTGATTTTATAAGATAGGATAGAACAGACAAACGCTCATTGATGAAGATGATACCACGTGAACTATCGTGTGATATTTAACAATTGGTTCATGCTTAGTTCGCGTGTATCGTCTGAGTATCCAAAGCTATTTTCGTCCCTTGAAAGAGCCTATTCATTCATTGTTTTTGAATAGATTCTCATTTATTATATTGAATGATCATTTTGGGCGCCAAGGGTATGTCTCGATCGCCACGGAAAGAAAAACAATAACTAAAATTTTGAAGCCTCGAGGCCAAATTCTACGAAAACTTTTCAGCAAAGTGAAACTGCACACGTCAATATATCTAAGCACCGTAGTGGCTCATCAGGAATTAGATAGGAATTACGGGTGCATTGCATACAACGTGGCATATACTTTGTTACCTTAGTCCAACGTGCAAAACCAAGATAAACGGTTATAAGCATGGAAAATAAAGATAAACACTATCTTTTCTACAACATTCTTCGAGGGAACTA